GGTCCCTCTACAGAGCCTTCCTACCCTCACGTTCCCCTTCTTCGTTCTGACCTTCGCTAACAAAACTCAGTCCACACTTCAAATTGCTCAGAAGAGAAGGAAACAGGATCAGTGCAGGCAGAATAAAATGTTCCAAAATTGATTCTACATTTCATTGCTTTCAAGATACTTAAGATACTGTTCTAAATCTGTTATAACCAGTTTATTAAAAAAAAAAAAGAAAAAAAAAATCAATTCTCCTGTCCAATTGTCCTTAGCTGCCAAAAAAGTTTCTCTCAGCTGGATTTGCTGCCTCTTAACTTGAACTTGTCACTCTCAAACCTCAATTCCGACATTGCATGTCCTCAGGCAATCAAGGAAGGCCAGTTACCAACATGAAACATTAGTATCAATGAAAAGACATCTCTTACCTGGGATTTCTTGCTTTCTTGCTCCTTTTTTTCCAGCTGGGTTTGCAGCTTCTTCCTCTCCTGCTCGAGCTCCCTCACTCGCTTCTGTAGCTTTAGGAAGAGGGTCATGTCCATGGCAGCTTTCTCCATCCCGACCTCCTGGAGAAGAACAGGGAAAAAGGAGAAGACCTCAGTGAAGTTTTATAACCACATCAGCACCAGCCCCAGCAACAGCCAGTAACAGGAGCATCCCAAGAAAGGCACGTACTTTCAAAGACCAAACCGCCATTTTAAGCACCTATTTTAAACGTCAATAAGCAGTTGACTCATTTTAATAAATCATTGAATGTTTAACAGCCCAACAGATAAGTGGGCTGATTGGGGCCACAGCTAAGAACATTAAAAATGCCCTACTGAGGCCCTTTTAGCCAAGTATTTATTAGTTGTTTTTTAATTGGCTTCACCTGGAATATTTTATATTACAGCCTGGCCAATATTGATTCCTTTGACTTCAGCAAATGCTCTCAGAGCAGTTTAGAAATATTAAAGCAATGTAACACAGCAGCCAGCAAAGGGAAGGGGGGGTTTCTGCAGGTGTGCTACATGGGACACAAAATATGGTCCTGCCAGTGGGGTCACAAATCCTAGGAACATTCATCATCCACGCATGCTCTCGAGTCATGAAAGTGGAGTTTGAAAAGCAGCCTATTCTAGCAAATGTAAGCAAAACACATTTCCCTTTTCCATGCGATTCTTGATAGCCAGGGAATAATTTATGCTGCTCTTTTCTGTATTAAGAGACTGCTGATTACAGGGGCTGTGCTGGCCAGCAAAGCATCCGTGAAGATGCATTGGAATGAAAATGCTCGGGGCAAGGAGGTAATGAATTCTGGTATCCTTGCGGAGAAGGATCAGTGCTAGGAATAACTACATGTAACAACACCGACCGCTTTGATAAATTTTCATCAGTCTTTAAGCTGGTATGGCCAAAAGACAACGCTTTATTATTTTAGAGCCCTATTTAAGCCTGATGCCACAAACAAGTAAGCATTTGCCATAGCACCGCAACCCTGCAATCCCTCTCACACAATTAACGATGTGTTTCTGTAGCACGAAATCAATTTAATCCATTACACCTTATAATCCAACCTGTGTTCCTCCTATGTGCTCCAAGACCCACGTCAATCATCCCTGCAGAGCAGGGCTCTCCCTCCTCCCGCCAAGCCTGCCCGATTTACTGTACCTCCACCTGTTGTATTACATCCTCAGTGTCTCCTATCTCAGAGGTTGATATGGATGGATAATTGGAATCGGACTCCAAACTGCTCTGGTTGGATGGGTTTCTTCTGTGTCCTGGTGCTTGCTGCCAAGGAGTGATGCAGATATGTAATACATTCAGTGTTTGTGGAAAGATTCCTCACAAAGCATTGTTTCTTAGAGAAAATATGTGTCTATATATTAAGGTTACCTTTACAAAAGGCTTGATTGTCACCTTATAGTGAATTCCATTTTCTAGTTCTTATGCCCTACCATAACATTCATATTAACACAAGGGAATAGTTTAAAATGTGAAGTGATACACAAGCTCAGTTGAAAAATTCTGCATGAATTAAAGGCTCTTCATGACACCAGATGCCTGTTAAGTACAAACATGCAAATCTGAGCTCAAGATTATGCTGTTCACAGCACCTCTGGGGCTCCCTTTAAATGCTCAGCTTTCCACCTAATCCAGCAGCACTCTAACTATTATCTAATTTTCAACAGTTCTTCTAAGACTTTAGCAAAGGTGAACCTAAAAACTTTGGCTTTTGAAATTCTGAAGCCATGTTGTTGGGGTTTTTTGGGGGTTTGTTTGTTTGTTTTTTAATCCAACACCTACACATGAACATCACTGAAACAAAAAGCAAAACAAAAAGCATGAACGAGTTTTTGCTGAGATTCACAGATAACTTTAAGTAGTTAACTGAGAAGCATGAAAGATCAGGCTCCTTTTTCAAGGCACACATATGGTTTGGCTTCAGTGCAGAAGTTCAGACTTAGAAATATCAAGCACAAACTGCACAATAATGTAACTTCTATTAAGTGTTTTGGGGATGAGTGAGCCACGTTATCCAGTCACCAACATCATGTCCAGGACACAACAGAATAGGGATAATTTCAGTTTCGTTACCTTTACAATAGTCATTTCATCCCGCAAGTTGTCATATCTCTGCTCCAGCCTCGAATACTCTTTTACCAGATTCTGATAACGAGACCTCTCTTCTTCCAGCTCTTTCTTCATCTGGATATTTTCCTCAACCGTGTTTAGTGCAAATTCATCTTTAAAATAAGGGGGGGGAAGAGAAAAGAAATTATGATCTTCATCTTCAAAGTGAACTTGTAAATATGTGCAATAACTAATTAACAAAATGCTCTCTGCCAAGAACCTTTAAAATACATATAAGCATTCTCTAATATTTAGAGACTATTATAATCTAGATCTATCTCCTCACCACTTGGAACAGCTGGAGTTGTTCTGCTCAGAGAGCAGTGTCGTCTGCCATTTGAGTTAAAGCAAGATCTCCAGCCCCTACAAAACCATGATATCTATTATGCTCAACTCAGCTGCGCCAGCTCCAGCTCCCATGGGCCAGCCATAAATCCACTTGAGAAAAGACCAGCAGAGTATGGAAATACATTCATTTGCAGAATATTGCATATTTAAGAAGTGGTACTCACTGCATTTAAAGACTTCTCTGCCTCCTCTCCACCCCCAGATTTGGCATAGGAGCAAATCAACAGCAGCATCTCTTTCTCATGTCATCATCAATGATTTACCACGGTAAGACCGTAGAGGTTGAAATTATCCAAATAAAGTCTTTTTTTTGGTTAAAAACTCCATTTTGGAAACAAATCTGGTCCCCTCCCCCCCTTTTTGAGAAACTAGGCAAATACAGTCTACGTGTCCTTTTAAATGGGTGAACACCAAACAAAACCCCTTCACTTGCTTTCCCCAAGCTTCGATGCTCTGAAAGCATCCCTTAAGAGATGAAGAAATATTTGCAGCAAGTTTCTTTTTAACATGTTATTTTCATTCCTTTATTTTGCATCGGGCTGAGAGCAAGAGGCACTTCACGAGTGCCATGGAGCAGCAATAGATACCATCCACAGAATGATGCACGATGCTCTCTGTAAATCCTGCGACAAAATCAAAGCTGAAAAGGATGATAAAAAATCAAAAAGCTCAACACATGCATGAGAGTTTCTTTCACGGCTTGGGATTTTCCCAGATTGTTTTCCTGTATGTACGTCTCACCATCTAAGTCTCTGCTTTAAAAAACACTCACAGACTCCTGTCACATTAGAGAAACCCTTTGTCACAGCTCAATATTGTTAACTGTGCTGTTCCTTGGATCCTTTATTCATCAATCCTGGGACATTGTTATTCTGTACCCTCCACCCCCAGCAGCCTCGCTGCCTCCCACATCACCCAGAGTAAATACTGCAACGTAACTGAACTAAAAAGCCCTTTTGGGTACTTTATTCCATATTACACCATTTAAACCAGCCTCTGTCTTGTCACCCACCAGCAGGATGGCATGAACAGATGTATCTGCACAGCAAAACCAACGACAAAAACATCCAGGAAAGGGGTGCGGGAAGATTAGCACTTTTCAAGGTAGGAAAAGCATGCAGGAAAAACAAGTTTGAGGGGAGAACAGTTAAGCTCGTCATTTAGTGGAGGCATTACGATGCTATAAGCATTTTTTCTTACCTTCAGATTGACACAGGATCCTGCTGTTAAGCTCCTCTTTTTCCTGCTTCAGGAGAGCATTTTCTTCTTCCAAGTCGGATATGCGCTACGAAACAAGGCAGAGAATTACTGCTTGCTGCAGGTCAGACCCTCTGCAGAGGGATTACATTTCACCTGGCTGGAGACAGTGAGCTTTGTTCAGGTTTTCTTTGCTGTTTAAAAGATCTATCCCCTTGTGCTTTGCCAGTTACCCTTTGTACATCAGGAGTTGAAGTGTAGGAGAACCGCACTGCAACAACAGAGAGTAATTTTTCTTTTCCCAAGTACATTTCTCCCTTAAATTAATGTTTTTAGCAATAGGAGAACCGCACTGCAACAACAGAGACTAATTTTTCTTTTCCCAAGTGCATTTCTCCCTTAAATTAATGTTTTTAGCAGAATCTTACAAAACACTGAGCAGCTGGACTTAGCGACCATGATCTGCAGGAATGAAACTCCTACAAGTGATCAGGTCATCAAATCAGAGGTTTATTTCCATACCTCAATGGGCTTCATTGCCATCTTCAAGTCATAGCACTGACTGCTCTTGGGGGCAAAAAAAAATCTGATTGTTTCAGGCAACGTGGCACATAAGTAGTTAAGATGGACACAGTTAATGTGAGCACCATGGAAGACTAATGCTAAATAGTTCAGGCTTTTTTAACTTCATGTGTATTGTACCCTCTTCATGTAATAATTATAGTCACTTTAATGCTTCACACTACTACTTCATGTAATAAGATTATAGTCACTTTAATGCTTCACACTACTGCAGAACCTCTAGCACAGTGATGCACAGTGTGTACCAGGGCCTTTGGTAATACAACAGGAACATACATAGCAATTAACACAAAGAATTGCCTAGCAAAAATTACTGAAAACAGAAACTAAATCCTGCAAAACAGTATTCTTTTTTTCTTTTTTTAACTACCTCTTTATTACAAATGAAGGGAAGCAAGGCCACTTGTCACAACAGTAAGGCTGGACTGGCGCTGACAGCAACCTATCCTGTAATTTTGTTCATCCTCAGGAATTTTGATGCATTCAACAGCGTTATCTCAAAACACAAAATCAACACATTATCAAGTGGAATACGCTGCTACGGTTAAGCAGGATTATTCTGCTGCTGTCAGGTAGGAGAACAAACCGACACATCATCCCAGCGAAACGTGGGATGCCTTGTGCCTGCTCCATCGCATCCTGCAGCCACGGCTTAGAAAACAGCTACACACAGCAGAAGGATCTCAAGATGCCAAAGCTAAACACCACTGTACACACATCATAAAAGTTTTCAGTACCCAAGAATAATAATTTTGCTGTCACCACTCTATAAAATTTATAGGCAGCCCAGCTGGCATGCATTCCTAGCACAGACTTCAGTCTTCCACACAAGCATCCTCAAATCAAGGTATTTTATCAACTACTGCATATGCCAGATACATACTAATGGGAGGGTAAAAGCACAATGAATATTTTACTGTAATTCACAACTGAAGCAGTCACATCCCGTGCACAGAAACTGGAAGATCCCACTACCCCTCGCTCTCCAATCCGTTCATTTACTCCAGCTGTCTGCATAAGTATCATTTCCTGCATCTCTATATATAGTAGGAAAGTTGGACACTGGAAATACAACTAGAAAGTGAAGAAAACACAATTTAAGGTATGCAGAGCTACTAGTTTTTTAATGCTCTGAACTGAGCCGTGATTTTAACGTTCTGTACCAAAACCAACTACGTTCCTTCATTTGTATATCACTTCAAATAAATATCATAGCAGACGTGCAGCCATTAGATCAGCACTAGCGTCTTCAAATTAGGAAGAATTCTTAAAAAAAATTGGAGAACAACCACGAGAGTGATAGAAGGGAAGGAAAACCTGCACTGCAATGGGACAGTGAGGAACTCGACTCATTTATCCCATCAGGGAAAAGATTAGGGGTGATGGGATTATTTCACTAGTGCTCTTTAATGGGTGCTGATAATGAACTCTTCTGTCCAGAAAACGAAGTTATGGCGGTTGGAAAACAAAACTAGAGAAAAATTTTAAGTAATTTCTCTCTCACTGTGCTGAGGAGATATTTTAGAACTGAAAGACTTGGTAGAATCTGCAACAATTATTCCCAGGTTTAAAAATTCCTAATCCAGATTGGATAAAGATATTTTTAAGATATGTTCTTAAGTGATTGAGCTTGTTTATCTCATTCCTATTTCCATATGAAATAGAAACAAGCTGGAATTCAACATTTGTGTTTACAGAAACCCCATGGGAATGAAAACAGTCCATTAAACACAGGCAGAGGTAAGCGGAACAGGTTACACAGCCAAGCAGCACAAACTCCATCTCTGGTACCTTTTGTACCTCGTGCTCATCTTTCTTTAGGAAACATCTTTGAAGGTGCTTCAAATGCAACAGCACCTGCTTTGAAGGATTTCTATGGAAGATATTGAGCAGCGAGCACTCGTGACAGCTTCAGCTCTTATTTAAGTGTTACACTGGAACCACCTGCTCATGAGATCTGGCTCCAGTCCTCCCTAATCTTGTGAGGAAAGGATGATGGCCTTTAGGATTTTCCTAATAAAAGTCCTGGCCAGGCTTTGAATCATCCTAGCTCACAAAGTGAGAAGATTAGGTGCTACCGAAAGCCCTAAGAAGAGCTGTTGGCACTCATCCAGATCTCATGTTTTAAACTTTACCACTAAATGGAATAAAAGCTATTCTAAAATTAAGGAGTTGGAGAGAAAAAGCTATAAGGAAGAGATTAAAGGCCGTTTTTTCAGTATAAAAATCATAACTAATATGGATTTGCAGAAGCTGCAGCCCCAGCTCAAGTCAATAAAATTAAGGCTGTCAGTCTCACTCAGAAGCGTCTGATGACTTGGGGTATCTCCTCCAGAGCGAGTGCTGGATCCCACCATAACCACAGTGCAGTCTTGCTATTGAAGGCGAAAAGTGCTTCTCACACCTGAATTCAGTTTCACAACACTCCCCACACTTTTGGTAGTTATTAGAACTACTCAAAAATCTCTATGAGAATTTCTCTCGGAAAGTGTTTTGGCTAAACAAATGCTTCCAGGAAGGAAATAGGTCTTCTCCGTCTTCCTACTGACAAGGAACTGAAGGGAGGAATTGAAAGCTAATGTCAGAAATGGGAGCCTGCACTGCTCCGTAGAAATGCTATGTTTTATAATTAAGCCATTTACTGTCATGGTAAAGTACATAGTATTTGTTCTGCTGTAGGCACTTCTACAACAAGGGAAAGCTTTTGCTTTGTTTTCATGCTTTTTGAAAGCATTTCTTCGGCCATTAAATCAACCTTTCTTCTGAGTGCTCGAAGGGGATTTGCAATCAAGAACAAAGAGAAGCAGTTTTTCCCCAGCTGCATCACCTTCAAAATAAAGCATCAGGCTCTAAAAGCTTGTACTGCAGACAGCTAACGAACTGAGCCCTGTGCCAAAAAGGATCATCTAATTTGGTGCTGGAGAAAAGAAAATCACTGACTCCATACGTCCCTGTGTGGGTGCAATACATGTGCAAAGAGCAGAGTAACTGCTTTTCTGACAGCTCTTGGTCCAGCCAAGAGACAACACACACACAGGCTGAATGCCCTTGTGAGAAGCACACCCAAAAATGCATTTCAGCTGTGCCAGTTGTTCAGATTAAGTTATCCTCACCACACAGTCCCCACAGCTTCCCACCCAAACCCACCATCTGAAGGCTTACCCCCCAGGGGAGGTTGGCCAGGGCAGGTGCTGCTGAGTGAAGCACCCTAGAAGAGCCCCACCTGGGCACTCTTTCACCATAATTAAAACACAGCTAATCCCAGACTCATCTTCAGGTTATCACACAAAAAGTGCTCTTCTAGATTAACAGCTGCAAAATAGCTTTTTCTATGCAACGCATTGAGCAGAAAAGCCCTAAGTTCTTTCCAACAGCAGGATCAAAGAAACCACTTCAGCCACCAGGGCAGAAGAAGAAAGATCACAGATTTAACCTGAGCAGTCATAAGCATTCGCAGCAGGAAACTGAACCCATACCTTAGTGCCTTATGTTATGACCATAGGCGAGAAGGTTATTCAGAATGAACCGGACCAAAGAAATTCAGTGTAAAATGTCCAGTTTTACTATTTGCAAAAAACCTCCACACTCTGAAGTCTCTTTCTCCCATTAGAACGCTTTCTCGTACAATGGTGGCAGCGTTGGGCCACCTTCACCTCAAAAGATCCAGAAAGCTTAGGAGTTTGCATGAAGGAGGGGAAGAAAATCAAGAAGTTTAGTCCACAACACAGCTCCAAACCCTACAAAGGCTTGTAACAACCAGCCTAGCTGGTGTTGGAGCAGTGCCTCTGCTTGGGAGGGATGAGTTGGTCCCCACACAGGTCATATTCTGCACATAGCTACACCACCAGCCACTATGACCAGCTGCCACAGCCACGGCCTGCGTGGCAGAAACCGAGCCCTCACATCCCATACTCAGGGACTGGGCTGAGGAAGGACATCTTCCTAATATTTACAGCATCTACGACAGCCTTCTCCAATATTCTGCATTACATGCCATGAGGAATCACTGTATATACACAAAGCTCTGGCATATCCATGATTGTTAAGTGCCCTTATTTCAAGGTCTGGGTTTGGGGAGTTTCTTCATGGTTGGCAGTGCAAAAGGCATGGAGATGTGGCATCCTCCTGACACGAGGCAGTAGCTGCTCCTGCAAGGATGTCCCACCTGCCCTTGCTGCCCCATGACCTGGTTAAAAGGCAAATTCAAGGGGCATTCAGTGACAAAAAGAAAAAAAATTATAATTAAAGAACAGAAATTCTTTCCCCTTCAGACTTGTGAAGAGCGAGCTTTCACCACTACACAACAAATGTGACAAATACACGTACCTTTCTCAGTAGGTCTTTCTCCTTAACGTAGCTGTCTTCCACGACCTTCCTCTCACCATGAGCTTTTTCAAGCTCCAGACGGAGGTGCTCCATCTCTTCTTGCAAGCTGACAAGCTGGTTGCCATCACCCCGGTGGCTCTGCTGATATTGCACCAGTTCCTTCTTCAGCTTTTCCACCTCGGAGGAGTGGGCAGACGTGAGTGTAGAGAGCTGCTCGTTCAGGAGTTTGTATTCCTTGTTCTGCAGCCAACGTCCCAAAAAGAAGAAAATAAAGACCATAAGCAAGATCCGTGCATGCACTGATGCACTACAAAAGTAACCATCAAAAATCCTTGAGCATAGTGAGTAACAAACTTCCAATAACCAACATTTCCACACATATGCTAATAAAGCTCATAAAGCTAAAAACAATTTCAAAACTGTCACAAAAGCTCAATAATATTTTGGTAATGATTATACAAGCATTTGCTAAAATTGATGTTACACTTGAAGCAAAGGAAAACACAATGTGATAGCACTGGCAACCAAACAAAAAAACCTACACTTTTATTACAGCTTCCAGACAATGTTGCTTAATGCAATTGGCTTGCAATTTTTTTGGCTTGCAGTATTGGAATTGCGGTTTATCCTTTTATTCCTGACTCCTATGCCTGCAGGAACCTGGGGTGACAATGCACGGTAACATAATTGCAGCCTTGAGCACAAAGAATTCCCTAAACCCCAGCTTTAAGTCACATGCCAGCTCAATCATCCTTTTATTCGCTCAGATTTTCTCTTCTAAAGCACTTAGCAATGATTTACTCCCAAGTTTTGAGACCTGAAAATTCAGCTGCTTTGATTTTTGTGGTTCAAATCAAAGTCAATAGGAACTACACTATGACTAATAAAACATCATTATTAGCCAGCCCCAGAAATGACAATGAATTCACAACAGACCAAGAGCTTCAGTAAAGAGCCTACCATGTAGCTTTGCTAACATTAGGTAGATAATCATGACAGCAAAAGAACCATTTTGAAATTTAAAATGTAGTCTGGTTTTTAAAGTTTCCTTTTTGAAAGCTTTCAATACAGCTTTAAAGACCTGGGTTCATATCACTCACTATACAAAAGATTCAAAAAGCTTTCCTTTCTTAAATGGGACTTTGGTGGATATTTCACTTGAGCATCAGAAATATCAGTTTGGTCTTTCCTGGTCTTGCTGGAAAATATTTGGCAAGAGACTATTGTCCAGAGCAGATGCGTGTCCTGGTAATCCGCAACTCAGCCTTTTGCTGTTTCTCAGAGCTTTCGTCACCAACACAGTCACACCAGCTCATGAGAAACTGCTCCTTCCATCCAGAAGTTTTTAATTCATGTGGAGGCTAAGAAAAGCTTGAGGTGAACAAGCCAGAAGACAAAAGTCTTAAAAGACACAAATTAAAAAAAGTCAATGGACTAGGGAAGTCCTGATATACAATTTTTGACTGGTCAGGATAAGCAGTAAAGGTGCAAAGTCACAGATCCCGAGATGCAACTTCTTCCTTGAAGAAGGAATTTCTTACTTGACCAGAGTCAAATAAGCAAGAAAAAAAAATTCAATGCAAAGAAGTATGATTGATGTCTGTAATAGGGTCAAAGGCTCCCATTAGCTCCTGTACAACAGAGTTTTCAAAGAACCTTACAGCCTGGAAAAAACAAAAACACCATGAAAGTAGAGAATTTTATCTTCTAGGTCTACACAGGTACTTCTAGACCGACAGACCCCTGTACAAATGCATGATGAGTTGGTGGATACTGAAATCCCCACCCATACTTCAGATTAGTCTCTTTTAGATTCCCATTGTGGCTCGTAGGATCATTTCTTCTACCATCGCTCTGGTCATCCTTCTGGCCCCTCTCTAGGTGACCTCCCAAAGCACTCCTCTCTCACTGCAGTCTCAGCACTCCAAAGCAAGATTAACATATCTCAAATGGAAAAACAAGTAATTGAGGGACATTAACACCTTTTCCTTTGCTCCCTTGTAATGAATTATTAGTGAACATCAAAATTCAGCGTTCGCATGGTATTAAGGAATTAACATTTTTGCATGACCAAAGCCATTTCCAGAGAAATACATTTGGAGAGAAAAACTTTGCCTATGGAGAACGGCAATAATGACTCTAGTTCACAAATCATTGCTGCTTCCCCCACCTGTAAAGGCTCCCCCAGTCTCTGCTCATTCTCTAACATGCAACGTTTTATGGCTTTGTGTCCCAAGGTTTATGTATACGATTTTACATATCAGCCAACTGAGACTTCAATCCAGATATAAGATAAATGCACAGGAATGCTTTTTCTTGTTGTTATCTACTAGAGACACGAGAGAGCATTTACTGTCTCATAGCAAAATGGCTGGTCCCCACTGCAATCGGATATTGCTCAAGAGACCCCATTAAACTTGAACTTGCTTTATTTTAAATCATTACTCAGCCCAGCAGAGCTGTGACAGTCCCGATTTCAACCCAGGCTCTGTGCACCAATCTAGAGTTTATTTTGCTACCAATGGCAGAGACTACAATTTCATCACTACTGTTACCCAAACTAGTTTTATTCACAATAAATGCTCACAGAGATACTGTCGCTTGCAGAGACAGTGTAGGGAGCTCGCTGTGAGTCTAAATATTGGCTGCATGAACACATAATTCTAAATTAGGTAACAGCCTTAAAGGTGTCTCTGGCAGCTACAACATACACGTTTAAAAAAACCTTACTGAACTGAAAAGAAAAAAAAAAAAAAAAAAAAAAAAGGTGGTCCAATGTGGATAGAAAAAAGTGGTCCAGTGAGGATATTTCAAAAATCCCTCACCTGATTTAGACACTGAATTAAATAGGCCCAATTACGGATGCTAGAGCATGTGAGCTGAGGCTGACACACAATAATAAGTTTTAATGTTTTCAGAGAAAGATGTTCTCTTCCTCAGGGGCACACAGAGTATTGCATCTCTCTATTCGTGCATGAGTTAAAGTAGCAGAAATAGAAACATTTTCTTCCACGGCTAGTCAGAAAACAATACAACTGCAGCTCTCTAGGTTATCTGCAAATTTTTTTTTTTCTTAAAAGGTTAATTGGCATTTTAAAAGGTCGTGTTTATAGATCAGCAAGGACTGAAATCAAGATACTTCAGGAAAAATACGATGCAACAGACTCACTGCTGCCAGAAAAAAATCCAGTGCACTGAAAAGAAAAGTCCTCTGGAACGGTGCTTATTAGCACATCCAAAGCATCCCAGAGAAACCTGTCAGTCCTGAAAGGGTGGTTAAAATTAGCTCGCTGGACAGACTACCAAGAATAATACAGAGCACCAATTCTTTCCTGCAAAAGTTACACAGAAAGCAAAGTAACTCCTTCAAAACGGTCTGCGCAGAGACCAAGGGAGATCAAGACAAGCTCCAGCCTGTTATTTAAGTAGGCTCCAGCCTACTTAAAAGCTCTCCATGTCTCCTTCCCTAAAGCAGATCTTTCTGCTGCTTTCATAATCCACGACAGGAAAGCCAACATTAACCAAAGACTGTTTTTTCCTTATTGTTCCACTCCCACACTATTCCTAGCAGTAAACGGCAAGGAATTTAAAAAAAAAAAAAAAAAAAAAATTTAATACTGCTGCTCCACCACCAAGTCCAGCAGCTCAGCAGACCTAACACAGACATTCATGCTCATTGCGTGAGTTCAGCCCACATACATGGACCTGAAATGACTCATCCTCATTAATTCCACCAAATACCCTCCAGATGAAGGGTCATATCAAACAGGTTTCTGATATATAAATATAGAGAAAATCTTATGCCTACCTGTTTTCCATTCCTAAGCTAGTTTTTCTGCAAAATCTAAGTATGCAAGAAGGCATTTGAAAATTCAACACTGCGGTTTAAAAGTCAGACTCTACTGCGGTGCATGCTTTGCAGCCAATTAATAAAGCAATGAAAGCGGCCAGCAGTAATGCAAATCCCTGGGTGTCCTGGCTCTGCAGTATCTGAGCCAACGCAGAGTCATTTCTCATCTTCTTCACGGCAAGACCTCTCGTGTCATACAGGGATGGGAGAAGTTTAAGGCTGCAAGGAAACCGCATGTGATCTATAATGGTTCCTGACAACATCCCAAACAGAATGATAAACTGTGATTACTCATAACTGGTACTACAAAAAAGTAGGTATCCTGACTTACAGAGAATGTTTCTCCTGCCTGTAAAAGGACAGTTTAAGGATATAGGTGGATCCGCATTTCCCCGTTGAGATTAGTGGACACAACTGGGTCTACTCAGTATTTCTTCTACTCCTCCCTGAAGTCCTTGTACAGCATTGGAAGCAACATAGAGAATATTTATCAGAGTAACTTGCACACTCACATTAGTAGGTGGGAAAAGCCTCCTTCTATACATGTGTAATCAAACAACTATTTTGCAGCTCGTTAATGACACATGGCATTTCATGAAGACTTCTCTGTGATCAAGTAGTCACAGTAAGACCATCAAGCCATCCACACAGGCATCTATTACTTACATCACACCATCTCACCCCTCATCATGGCTCTTACTTCTGAACAGTTGTTACATCCAGTAACACAAACATGCTCAAACTACTTTGCAAAGTGAGTATTTATCCAATTTACCTTTTACCTTCCAGGTAACGTGACTCACAAGACATACAGTTCAGTACAGCAGACTGTGGCAGAGGCTCTGCATCCTTAGTGCTTGCAAAGCAGAAAGTGTAATGGCCAAAGCCTGTTTGACACAGGGATCTCACATGGAGCCGGCTTGGGTTTTCAAGCAACAGCTGTCAAAATTGCCATTTTATCTTCCTCCTCCAAGCTCTTCTGGGCATTCTCACAACAATTACAATGCAGCTTTTGCAGCTTACTGAGCAAGCTCTTCAGACAGCAAGGTGGAGACCTAAGTGCATTTCCACTTCCATGGTGGTGTCCCACATTACAAGTGTCTGGCCAGCAGTAGCAGAAGGCTGCTGCCACCACCATGACAGCCTTCCCAGATGTCATGGGAAGATAAAAACTTTCCCAGAAAGGACAGCAAGAAGGCAAAGCAGAAGCAGGACCACACTTGTCCCAGCACTGCTCAGGACATACCTGCTCATCGATCTTCCTTTGAAGCTGGACCACCTTGTTCTCCATGCCAATATTGAGCTTCTTCAGGTGCTGTGCTGAGCGGGCCTCGATCTTCAGTGCCTTCAGCTCCTGCCTGGCCTTCATGCGCCGGTAGTAGCACTGCAGGACGATGGTGGCACCCCTGACCCGGCGGAAGCGAGTGCGGGCCAGCCAGCCACGGGCGTACTTCTGGAGGATGGTGGCTTTGTGCTCCGCAAGGATCTACAAAACATGGGCAGAAACAGGACAATCAAGGGAGAAAAGTCACCCACAGAGGTGGCAGCAGCCTTGGTTTGGCTGCAACATGGCACTCAACACTTCCCAATCTGCCTTTGAAAAGGCTTCTCCTCCAAGCCGGAGTATCCTGGTAGGTGCAGGGGGTGATGGGTGGAGATAGAGGCTGTTATTTTGCATCCTCTTTTATAGACGGGAAGGGGGGTTTCTTTGGTCACTGCACTCAACTGAAACAGGCAGGGCACATCCAGTCCTCTCTTAGGAACTGAGCTGCTCTTTAAAAAGAGGCAAGATCTGCTTGGCCAGTGAAACAAGAGGGGATATGGTCCTGAGTTGGTGACTAGGAGACTCAATGGGGACAGGAGACATCTGGGCTGACATACTTCATGGAATAGAACATACATTCCACCTCAGAATAATACTCAGATCCACAAGATCCATAGCTAGCAGAATAAATAGCCATTAACAGATACACCAACACTTAGCAATAAACTTACTGTCCCTTCAGCATCAAATATAATTCACACCAGAACAGGTTTTTACTTTTTTTTTTTTTCCTTCTGTGTTCTGCCCCTGCATTATGATAATTTATACTGCGGATAAATGCTATCCTGGTGGGATTTCTTATCGTATCAGGATAACCTTCAAATAAAACTTTTCACTACAGTCTGCAGCCAGTTTTCTTGCATGATTCAATTTTTAGAAACTTGTATCTAGTTTTGTGAAACTTCTGGCACTTTTGCATTGGATTTCTCCCCAAATATTTACAGCGATCTTTTCAGTAAGTGGCAGTTCAATTCCTTCCTCTAAAACTGAAGGCTGATATAGTAGAGATACAACCAACATGCTGTTAATAACTTTCTTACGTTGCTCTGTGCTGCAGTATTATGAAAAAAGAAATACCAGGAGAATTTAAAGATTACAAGACGCTTTGCTGTTATTAGTTTGGGATAAGTTGTATCAGAAACAGTACCATATCAGCTTCTCACAAATCTTTTGTTTCACCCTAAGGCTTTCTTCACACTTGCAAATTTTAATTCAGAATAAAAGTATTGTGTAAACTTAGGATGCAGTAGGAGTTACTCTGAAATGAGCTTTGTCTGTCTCCACCCTTGGCACTCTTACAGATGGAGAAAGCTGGGAGTGCCCAAAGAGCTAGAAAAAGCTCTACTGCATTGCCTTGGGGGGCACTGGGCATGCCCCGACCCCATTTAGCATCACTTGCAGCCCTGCATCTGTTGTTGAACATGCACTTGAACCAACACCTATATCCAACACCTATATCCAGGTGCTCCAGAGATTAAGGATGTTCAGATTTGAAAGTCCTGACCTTCAGCCAACTTCTACACCTTGTTAAGATTTTGGGTTGCTTTGAATCTCAGAGTGTTTAAATGCTGGACTAACTGCCTCCAGAGGCTTCTGATTTAAAAAATAGATGCTGAAAAAGCAGCGGCAGCACAAATTCCTGATCACCAGCATCCAGCTGCTCTGTTTCGGAGGACAGCCCTGATCTCTCTGGTGGGTCACCTGGTGTCCAGGTAACCTCCATCATCTCCAGGAGCAGTCGCTCCCCTCCTAGCTCATCGAGCAGTAGCCCCATGACCACCCATTAGACATAAATTTAGGTGACTACCAAAGTAAGGCTGGATCTGAAGACTGTTTCCCCAAAGCTGTTCTCAGTTTCCTGACAGACTATTTCTCACTGTATCACTTGCTGTTATCAAACCTTTACTTCCTTGCTTTCAGCTCCTGGTTTAACACAGAAAGCTAATGGAGAGAACTAATTAAAGAGGGATTTATATCAATAAATGACTTGATGCCTTCCATGACAGACCCCACTGGTCTTCCTGTCATACTGGAAACAGCACCTGCAGCATGGCTCGGACACAAATTCGGTTTGCCAGGGAGGTTTTTGCAGAGCATGGGTAGATCAAATGACATTTCCACATTTCCACAATGCCTTCTGGCATCCAAATGACTAACTTCGTTTAGCTGCTCCGCTGCGGTGCCGCTGCCAAAATCATTTTTGCTTGCACAGCTTTAAATGGCAATGGTCGTCATCACTGTGTGCTCTCCAGAAACAGCAGAGGCAGTCGGCTTCTTATAACATCAAAATGGCCACAATAAATCGTGCTATGCCAGCAGAGGTAAGTATGAAGGCTCTTCCTACTCTTTTCTAATGCAAAGACACACTGTGGAATCATACCTTGTGATAAATCCTCCTGACAAACATGCCCCGAGCAAAAGCCTGAATGGTGATGGTTGCGTTGCGGACCCTCTGGAAAGCTCGGAGGATCCTCAGCATTCGGTACTGCTTCTGGAAAATGATGGCAGCTCTCGTCCTCCTCAGGTGCTCAGCAAGCCTGCAAAGCACAGGAAAAAGGTTAGCAGCAAAACTGAACTCCCCTTTTTTTTGTCATAGTAAGTTTTAAACTGGGCAGAGAGAAAAACCTTTTGGACAAAAGTGGCTTGATGGTATTCAAGAAAGCAGTAGGGCTAAGGAAAGAGCAGCTGATACCATGTCTCCATTAGAATAACAGGAACATGTATGCAATCAGAGAGCATCCATAGCACCCAGGAGCACTGGAACCGGGAATCAACACAACTCATTATTCCTAAACAGCAGTAAAAACAAGTATTTTCCAGCTTTTCCCTTGGTTTGAACTCTCTGCCTTAGGTACTTGAGCCAATCAACACCCAGGTTGGCTCCACACTTCCCTAACTATAAAAAGCAAGCGTCGCACAAGGGTATCTACCGACTCGGTGAAAACGGCTGCAAATTGATTGACATTTAAACCGGTGTGCACTGGTTTGGCAACATTCATGAGCAGAGCCCCAAGCAATTCACAGAGAGTAAATAATGAGGGATGTGGTCAACTCAGAACCATGTTGCTCCCATTCTCCAACTGAATTCATGTTCATTTTGCTGTTACACAGGTTAATAGATGCCCATAAAACCTCCATTTAACTTGATAATTAGCTTGCTTTGCTGAATTTGTGATTCATTTATTGCTCTCAGCATGAAGCATTATATAGATAGTTGATCCACTTCTTTATTTTGTGAAAAGCACATCAAAACTAAAAGAGCCATATTGGATTGGCTTATATATTCTCTTAGTCAAGGCCAACAGTTTCTCATCAGGACCCACTGAACCAGAGCTTATTAAAGAGGACAAGGGATGGTCCATTTCCAAAACCAGGAGAAAGCAGTTATTCAGATGATATACATCCCTATGAAATCAGCACAAAGACGTGAACTGAAAAATCACGTTGAAGAAACACTGCACATCTGCTTCCAGCCTCTCTTTTAGCTCATACCCTGTCACTTCGGCATCACCAGGGATTCCTCCTCCCCTCTGTAGAGAGATGGTTGGCTGATGCAAAAGTAAATATAGAGTCCAAGTCTGGAGGTGTGCATGGAGAGGCTACAGTTAATCACCAACTCCCCCTTTTTCTTAACCTTCCTCTTACTGCTTAGATCTCATTCATCTTGTCTTCAAGTGAGCTGTAAGACTGCCGAGAGCCTAGAGAAGTACATGGACCTCTGGGGACAAGAAAAATCTGTGCTCAGTTTTAAATAAGAGTCACCAAACTGCCCAGTTTTGCTCATTTGAGACCTCCTCATCCCTGGATTCTCCAAGAGGCCAATCCCTTTCACAAGAGCAAATAATAGCACAAATTCAGTTAGCATCTCTGATGTTCTTCCAACATACAGTATGATTTAGAGGAAATCCTTGAAAAGAACATGGAAGTTCTTCACCTTTGGTTGCTTCAGTAATTGATAGAAATCAACATTTATCCAGCAATCAGGAATGAAGTGACTGTGCAGGAGCCTTGTAGCAGTCAGGCAGCATCTCACGTTGCCCAAGTGCAAGCAGAGTTAATCGGGCTGCAGATTAGGCAGCAGCACTTCTGATGGGCAGATGCTAACTCAGAGCCAGGGAGAACATTGCTGCTCAAAACCAAACAACACAGCTAACACACCACAGCTTCTCTAAGCAGAAAACGAGAAGGGAAACAAAGCTGAAAGGACCTAAACCTACTCCTTGTTCCTATCTGCAAAGTGCCTGAAGCCAGGTTGGCTAGATGCAGGAGAATGGCAGCGTTTGACATGAATAAGGGGCACAAGATGCAAGGTGACCTGTGTGTTGGGATGCTATTACACTGCTTTACTGCTCCCTCACACCCACCCCACATCTGCTACCAGCAACCAACCCTCCAGTGCAGCGTTATCTACAGAAACCCCAGCAAGCCACTGACACAAGGAAGCTTGAGGTTCCTGCACAGAGTTAAACATTGAGCTCTTTTATTCTGTACTGTAAATAGCGCCACTGCCAGTGATTTTGAGTGATTTTTCTCATTACAAAGGATACAGTAAATCAATTCTGAGAACTCCCCTTGGATACCGAGGAGGTACAAATCTGGTGTCTGTAGAAGAGGAGCGCATACCAACTAGCAAAGCGCTCACTAGTTGATCCAAACGCCCTTTGCCAGAGGTAGTCGCAGAAAAATATTAGTTCTGTGAAACCCTTTCACCTAAATATCTCAAAGTACTTTAGTCATCTGATTACAGCCTAGCTGCCTATGCTCTAACCCTGGCCCAGCACCTAGAAATTAAATCAATACAGATGTGAAATCGAATAGAGACAAAGACTTTTGATCTCTTCCCCTGAATAAAGGTGGAGAGAGGTCCTGACATGAGCACAGAAACGTTCACTGTAGTGGTACCTACGTGCACAAAACAGCCTTATTTTCATAGGGCTGAAAGGCAACACCTCATGCAGAGCATTTTCAATGTTTCTCCTATGGAACCCCCAAGTATAAGGTCTACAAGATGGAATGGATTGAGAATACAAGTGCCCAGAAGTGTTTTCCCACTTGACCTCCCAGCTAGCCCTTCCTCGGAGGGCTTCCTAGGACCCACCTCCGCGCCAAGTGACCACGCGTGTAGCGCTGGATGACAACTGCAGCTTGTCTCAGCCTTTTGTACTTGACCCTCTGCAGCCAGCCCCGCACCGTCTTCTGAATCATGATTGTGGCAGCTCTGAATTTATCTGCTCGCAGTTTCTCCAGATATGCCACCTGGCCTGCACGGAAAAAGATCTTGGTACGTCCAAACTGGAACTTGTCTGGATCCTTTTCAAAAGCATAAAGGAAACTAAATTTAATTCAGGCAAACATTTTTTTTTTTTTTCAGTCTATGTTGCTCAGTAGATACCAATTAAAAAAACCAATTTGAGTCAAATTTATCAGCTCAGTTTACATCTCTTCTTAACTAGGTGATGAAGATATTAGACTCCAAACTACTTGAGTGTCTATACACCCATTGAGGAATGCAGCACTAGGATTCAGTTCCATTATTTACAGAAATTTTGAATGTTTTTTGGTTGGTTAGTTGGGTTTTTTTGGTTGTTTTTAGCGTTTTTTGGGGGGTTTTGTTGTTGTTGGTTTAAATTAAATAGAGCAATGCCATGCCAGAGAACTTCAAGAAAGTATTTCTTTCTTGAAAAGATTAAGGCTTACATCTGCAAAGTCATACATGCACTGCAAATGGCTCTGCAGCTAAGACAAACACTTGGTGCATAAGGAAAACAGCTTTTGCAGAGAGGAATTGAGTAAATTCCTCAAAATCCCGCGAGGAAAACAAGCATTAAAAATTAAAACCTGGCTAAGATGCTGTGCACGTTCTGGGCTCCTCAACAGCAAGAAATCTTTGCATGTGCACTTGCAATTTAAAAATAATGCACATGAGTCTGAGTAGTAAGGTTTTGGTAGGGGCGGGCGGGTGGCAAAGACTTCTTATTTGCTTATACATTAAGGGGGAAAAGTCCCAATCTACAGGATGCTTTTTCTATGTGTTAGTGGCTATTAAAAGCCTCCCACATATCAAAATAGGGCAATTATTGCATTTTTCTCTTACTCATTTGTGCAAAGAGACATTTAACGAAGGGGTGACGGAACCGACTTTGACTAAGGTTGATGATGTTGTACACAGTATCGAAAGCTGGACCTCTAAAATGTGCTCCAGCTACGGCTAGCCAAAATGCAGCAGGGATTGGAGGGATGAGTTTTCTGGAGATGGCCAGTTGTTCATGTACAGCCGGTGATAAGAAACTCTGGACTTCACCAGCACTGAAATGGCACGTTTAGCTTGACTGCAATCAAAAGATCCCATGTTACGCTTGCTCTCGCTACCTCCTTGCGAGAGTATCTCATTCTGGAAAAAGCCCCAGGCTGCCTAGGCTGAATAAGCACCTGCACGAGCAGCAGGTGAAGTAGGAGCAGGAAGAGCAATTCAGATCGTATCATGAGTTTCCGTGCTGTAAAAATCATTGCCAAAGCTTTGGTCCCAGCTCACCTTAATGAGGTCTTCCAACAGGGTCTGACAGATCTGCTTCTTGTCATTCTTAGAGAGGTCTCTCTTTTTCATAAGAACACGATACCTATTGAAAAAGTCATGGTAGGACCACCTGAAAGCAAAGCATAGACAGGATTAGTCTGCATGCTGGGCATTATTTCCTTAAAATAAAGCATTTAGAGTCATAAACAAGTCAAAATATGAAACTCTCATACTGAGGGATCTCTCGCCACTACCCTCAGCACGGATTGAAGCCATCTGAAAGGAGCTAGGTCGCCCCAAACCTGACCTCCAGTCTCAGCCTGCCCCTGCCACTAAATGACCTTATCAGTGCATTTCTAGCCTGGAACAGAAAGGCCATGGATCACCTTATTTTCACTCCTCCTGATGTCCTTCCCAAGCTGCTGCGTTTCACCACTCAAATGCAACAACGCTGTTCCCTTCGGAAAGGGTGTGCTAATTTTGAAGAGATCATGGATCTCCTGATTTGGCCAAAAAAATTTAAAAAAGCAATCTTGGTAAGGTGATAAGAGAATGAATCAAATAAAAACTCTTCCTTATTTTGCTTTTCCAAACTGCTGAATATTAATTTGAATCAATTCACTAATCACTCCATGTTGAGGTCTCTTGGCTGAGACCCTTAAAACAAACACAAAATCTTTGGACTCTGAAAAGACAAAGCAGCCATTTGGAAGATGCCTCACTGTCACCAGCAGTGAAGTTTCCAAACACGCAACACTAATTGAAGGAATTAGAGCGCTGTAGCTTACTGCTAGGAAATATCGTCTCCTGCTGCCACTGTTAGATGTAGAGCCTGCAGACTGGATCCTGAAATCGGTTGAGCATCTGCCAAGTTTCAGCCTTCTCCAGATTAACACAGTGAGTTATGGACCCCTCAAAACCTGAGTTTTTAATTAAAACACTAGGCATTTCCAGCACTGTCAAGTACAGCCACCGTTATTTCAAAAAAATATGCATAACAAACATCAAAGAAAGATGAGAGAGAATTGCAGATTTTGATTTCTGCCCTCACTCAATGAAACCATCTGTAAGCCTGACCCTCACCCATAAGGATGTTCTGGCAGAGCACAGGGTACCAAAATGAGAATACACACACTGTATGAATAGCAGCCATACAGAAACCTCCTCTTCTCAGCCCAGCAGCCTTTATTTTTGTGTTATTACATGCATGCTTTATTTTTGTGTTATTACACCCAATTCTTCCTATTTTTCCACTTCCAGAGATTAAGAAAGGGGGCAAGAAAGGCAAAATAAATTGCAAAGGGCCAGAGCAATGCTTGTGATAGGTGCTTACACTTGGCCAGTTTGCAGTGGTGGGGCTGGGTGAGACATCACACCACCTGAGCACCTCCCACGCTCAAGGCTGCCATCTCTATAAAATACTTCATCTCTAACGAAACTTGTTGAAGGCTGGAAGCTGGGATATTTGGCAAGATAGGCATACCAGAAATATAACACCTACTTCAAAATACACAACCAACACAGTTTCACATCAGTTGAGAAAATGCAGCAGGGGAGGAAAGCCAGTTTAATTAAAAGCAATACTCTAATTAAAAGAACAGAGTGGAAGAAAATGTTTACAATGAGAAGGAAGGGAGAAAAAGCAAAACAAAGAAAGTACTGCTAAGGTCTGGGAATTGCCACGCAATTCCTGCATGGACATACTGCACCCTGGACACCTTTTGCAAAGAATATGGGAATGGCAAAAACTAGAGAGAGTCCTTAATGTTGTTCCTGAAGCAAAAGGTAAGATGGATGGCTCCTGAAGACAGGAGCAAGAAGGAATTGTGATGAGAGGATTTCCCATGCTCAGATTGCTCAGAGTAGCTCTGGAGTAGCCAGATTTAGTGAACATTTCATCCTTATCTACATGGGCTAGTCCTGGGGCTGGACAGCCAAGGCTGCCGACCCTCAAATGACCAAAAGTACTGGATTATCACTAAAAAAAAAAAAAAAAAAAGATACCTGCTAAGGGGAACTCTCTCTGAGATGAGGTACAGCAAAACTGAACATAAAGATTATGCAAGACTACGGGCTTGTGTCAGGTATGGTTTAAGCCTACACTTGATTCCTCTTTGCCTTCTAAATGCCTTCGCTTTATATAATTACATTTCCCATTTTGTACCCGCACCTTAATCCTTTTGCTTTTTGCAAATAAAACCCATTTTCATTTAAAGCACGTCTGAGGCTTTACACAGCTCCAAATCAAACGCGATCGGAGAAGCAGAGCACACAGTGCCCGAGGCACGCAGCCAAACGCGCGATGCAGGAGACCTGGCTCAGGTATTACTCAAGCCAGGGAGAACGTTGCGGGGGGTGGAGAAAAGAGAAGGAGGGAGTATTCCCATTAACCTGTCAGAGTCAGTTTAGGGGCTGATATTATTAACTGCTGCTATTTGGAGGAAAGAATCATCCTGCAGGTGCCACCCGGGCTCCTCCGGCAAAGAGCAGATGGCGAAGAGGCAACACGCATAACCGAGGGCACGGGCCCAAGCTGGGCAGACAGCAGCAAAATCCATCATCTTCCTGCACCGAGAGAGAGATGGAGATCTCGCAGCTGCTTTCAAACAAGAGTCAGGCACCTGCAGAAATTCCTTTAAAATAGATCATAAGTCGCTACATAGAAGGTCTTTCTTCAGAGCCTGTCGCTCTCATTTCACATGGTAGTAAAAACTGATTTCCACTTGTTTCCACTTGAGTCCATCTTTAACACAGATAACTCACTTTTTAGGATTAAGTCTCACATGAAACACTGGAAGTGGCAGGGAATACGCGCACTGATTGCTGTCGGGGTGTTTTGCTGGGCTGGTGGCATCCGTAGTCCTCTATCCACATCTCCCAGAGGTTCACAGCCAAACGCTGCACCTCCACGGCACACCACCGCTTCACCCTTGCTGCAGCGAGGCCACCCTCATCATCCTCGCTGATTTAGCAGAAGATGACAGTCCTGAGATCACACTGCTTGTATTATTGTCCACAGAATATCAAGACAAAAGCTCTGCCACGGCGGGGCTCAGCTGGTCCATCAGGAGTTTCACCGGAATATCTGCAGTCCCAGTTCACAGGCAAAAGAAAGCTGTGGAGGTTCATAGGTGATGTTACAGGATCCCCCCAAGAGAAAGGAACAATTAAAGCACTCAGGTTTAATGTAACATGCCTGGTTAAACCACTTCAGGTTCAAAACAGTATAAAATTACCTTACAAGTATGTACTTTGAGAGAAACAAACATGATGCCCCAACCCTACACAAGGGAGATCTCTCTGGTGCAGAAATACTGAAGCTCAATGCTTTGGTGTGCACATACTTTTTTTTCGTTCTCCTGCACATATATGTCTGCTTTTTTTTTTTTTTTTTTTTTTTTAGGTTCAACATCTGCATCCTCAACAGAGAAAAGCTAAAAAAGAGAAAACTTATTTCCCTCCTGCTAGACCACAAAGCGATTCCCAGCATGAGAAAAAAGATGTGCCATGTTACCCCACAGCTTAGCAACTCAGGACAGATTATGGGAAGATTATACCTCAGTTCAACTTGTTGACAGATATTAAATTAAAAGTAGACCTTGGGTTTTCAGGATGGTGCCATACAACATGGGCACACCTCAGTGCTAGGAGAGCTGGAAACCACCAAGCGCCACTAAATAAGTACAATTCCTTATAATTATTCAAATTATAAGATCCAGACAGGTGGCACAGATGAAGAGCTGTAACCAGGCGGATTTTTGTACCTGCACAACTGAGAAAGAGGGAGAATGAGGCACGAAGGACTGGACAGATATTACTCAAACTTTCCCAAGGGGGGAAAAAAAAAAAAAAAAAAATCTCAGGGCGGAGATCAAGCACAACCAATCTCAAACATCAAAATTTTGCTTTGAAGTCAACACAGGTCACTAAAAGGAAGAGGCAATAAAAGGAATGGAAGGACACTGGAAAATAACTTATGCCTGTGAAAAAACCCTCCTTGGGCTTGAGCAGCAAGAAGGATGCTCAAGGACTTGGCCAAGAGCAGGAAACTTGGTCAACCCAGCGATTTCTTTGTCATCTACAGGTATTAGACAGAGGGAATAAGCCATAACAAACGCCACAAATTAAGCCTTGTATCTGTGGTTTAAAAAACAAGATTTGGATGCTTTACACAAAACTACAACCGGGTGCAAAGCAAAGGGGCTGCTCCTGCCCGAAATTGTGGGGCTACGAACCCGAGAGCAGCCCTCATGCTGCAGAGCCAGCTAGATTTATTACAACCTCGCAATTAAAGGGAGGGCTCGGGTAAGAAACTGGGGGTGAAATTCTGACTCCTGAGGAAGACTTCGAAAAGCATCTCTCCAAGCAGTCAGCAATTGCCCAAAATATCTCCAACCTATTGTTTTATGGTGATTACAGCAATGCTATTTCAGCAGCACTGAATGAAGAGCTGAAAGGAGGAGTGTAATAAGAGCTTGAAGCTTTTATGACTTAACCGTAATATGGTTTCTTTCGGTGGCCTAAAATTACTGAATGCAAAATCTTTCCATTAAGGGTAAATAAATTCATCGCCCCCCATCACCCAAGACCATTCCAAGACCGTCTGCTGAGCAAACCCAGCTTCATGTAAGAAATCCTGCCAGCACCACGTGGTACCATCCCCTGAAGGGATCTATATTTTAAGCAGTAAAGAGTTGGACTATATTGATCTTTCTATAGTAGCCAAAGCCTGTTTGGGGCACGCAGGTTGAATATTTGAGCCAAGATTTGACATGAAATTATTTTAGAAACTGCGATTCAGGAAGAAAATTTCTCTTGCCTTGTTTACTGCAGCAGAACAGATTTGCCTTTCAATTAGCTCTAAAACATGCAGGCTGGCATGGCTTGAAATTATCTGGAATATATTCAAAGAGCAGAATGAGGCGGGAAAAAAACCCCTCTATTTACATATTACCTTTGCTGGGAGCGGGCAAACAGAACTGCTGGTAGCCAAAGTCATTTATAGGTTTTGTTTCCCTGAAATGACTGCAAAACAGCTAAAGGCACATTATTAAAAAAAATTATTTTATATGCAAGGATGCCCATGATACATTTCAATTATGAATATTTAATGTTTATAGAGTTTAGCAGCTGTGATTTCATACTGAACTGACACAAAGATCCTGCATCTGACAGTCAGATCCAGCGACCAGAGGAAGCAGCCAAATGCCAAAAATACTTGAACAATACATTTCATACATAACAACTACAATAAGAGTATTTTGCAGAGACTGCAATGACAACATTATTCAGAGCGACTGCATGGTGGGAGATCACTGCTGTTGTACGTCTGACTGGAAACCACCAGAACCAGCAAGAAGAAAAATGTAGAGTTTTGACAAAATGAAAGTTAAAAACTTGTTTTAAAGAGTATTTTGTTATTAATGGAGATCTGCACCAATTAATTCTCTATAGACTAATCTTTATGTAGCTAGTTTCTATAAAGAAGATGAATGGGTTTATAGTACAGAGACATCTTCCATGCTTTACCGACGAAAGTTGATGATAGATTTACTATCTACACATCTAAGACAGTCCATTCATCACAGTCATTTATGTACATACTAACTAATACATTTCTTAACTGCTGCGTAACGTTTCAAACCAAATGATACATTTTCAATTTACTTGAGATAGTGGCAGACTGCAGCGTACCATGGAAGCGATAAAATAAAGCCAGGCATACCCAAAAGGGGAGCACGAGGCTTCATCTTTCAGAGGGAATATATCATGTCTTACATGGGTTGAAGAACACTAAAAACCATATTAGAACTTTTTTTTTCCCTTAAAGGAAGCAGGTAAAAAAATTATCAAAGCTCCAAAACATTCAATTCTTCAATCCCTAAAGAAACTTTTTCTTTCCCTTTAAGGAAGCAGGTAAAAAAATTATCAAAGCCCCAAAACATTCAATTCTTCAATCCCTAAAGTAACCATGATAGAGAAGCACAAAATAATGGCAGAAGGTGGCTTTATCCAGAAGTTTCTGACCCAAAGCCACACTCTCAGAAGCTACTCTTGCGACAGTATGCTGGAAAATATTCAGATCTAAATACTACAGGATGAAAATAAATGTTTTCTCCTGTTTCTGTAATAAAACTTCTCTCGAAAGAAAACATTTTGAAAATTCCCTCTTGCTCGAAGGTAAATTGCTTACACGCAAGTGAAAGAAAACTCACAAAGATCAAGTTTTGCATGATTATTTTAAGTGGTTTAAATTTATAGCTTTCACACAGGGTTTAAATTTAAAGCAATGACCCTCCTTTTTGGGTCACCCTTAATCAACCATTATAAACCAACTTATCTCAAAATGTAAGGAAATATGGAGGAATAATCAATGCTCGCTGTGATGAAAACTGCAACAGATCTCATGAATGTAAAAACTCAGAAAGAACTAAAACGTCTATTACATTTCCCACAAAGTAAGATCCTGTGGAAGCAGCTTTTGCCACGTTGGTTTATAAAGCCAATTCAAATATAGAGATTATTCACAATCTTTCAATGATGTTGCCCGATGCGTGGGTCTGGCTTTTCAAGACCAGAATTTTATGACCAAGGAGGGTGAAGAACTACCAAAACCCAAAGTGAGCATCTTATTTCGCACAGAATTGTTGCTGTATACAGTTTTCTTCTAGAAACATTAAAATAAACAAAAATCTGTCCTTGAAGTGTCCCAAACACTGACCTGGAGAAGGTCACTCTGAAAGGCTGAAATAGCTATTTGCACCCTTTTTTTTCCCCTGGAGGAAAAACAAAAGCTGACAAGTTGCAGTGATGGAAAAGTTTTGCATTCTTAGTGTCCTGGGAAAAAAGACCTCATAACCAAAAGCATGCAAGCAGAGCTGAAAGCATCGCTTTTGAGCTTTTCAGGATGGAGTGGTCTTCACACTGATCAATTATTTGCCGTAAATAGATCTTGGCTGGTCTCCAGGTGCTGCAGTGGTTTCTCCCTTCTGTTCCCTCTTCCCCAGTTACTAATTATACATCGATTTTAGTGCTGTAGGATCTAAACTGCAGCGTGAAGTAAGCAGAGATGGAAAAATGCTACAAATTTTTAGGAAAATTATGAATGTAGAGGAACAGGGTATCCCTGCAGCTATGCTTAAGACCAGTAGCAAAACCCATGGGCAACCCTCAAGTCAGAGCTCCCCAAACCTCCCCTGGGACCCACAACTGCAGAGCCAGGAGCACCCACCACACTGGGGAGCACAACCAGTCGCTTAGTGAGCACAAAACTGCCTTTCTGTGGCCTCTTCCACATGAAGCCAGAGCTGTTTCACTGCTCTAGGGCTTTCAGTGCAAGAGGACAGACAGACGGATTTGGCCCTGCAGCTACTTTAACAAAGATGATAATAAAAGACCCAACCCATAGGCTGGTTTTTAGTTTTCCCCTGTGGCTTAGAGATCATATAATTTAGGAGCAACTTTTTAACAGTTACACCCACAAATGCCTTGAAGACTTCAGAGACAGGAGCCAAAGGTGGTGCTGGGTCTTCTAACAGAAGGAGCCAAATCTCCATTCACCTCTCTGCCACCCTCTCATGCTGGCAGAGGAGAGACAGAAATTGGTTTCTAGGAATCTTTTTTTTTTTTCTTTTTTTGTCTTTTTTCTTTTTTTCCTTCTTAAGGAGTTGAGCTCAGCCAGGGAGATGCCCATCACCAGTTTTTGCCTGTCCATGGAGATCACTGGCCGGCAGAGGTTTCACGTGGGTTAGGTGCAGCTGAGCCATCTCATATCAATGCACAGAAGCTGCCATCAGTTGTCAGAGGCTCTTTGCAGCTTTGCAGGAGATGAGAGTAACTGATAGGCAGCACACTCCTCCCCAAAAACCGGGACAGCGAGTTTCTCATGGTGTTCAACATCACGCTTAGCCGACTCTTTACTGAGTGTATTTATAACTCCATTGTTCCATATAAAAAGGCTGATGGCTATGCTGACATTAACACAAAGCTGCTTGGCACTAAAAAGCAATTGATGCATTTTTAGAATTATTTGCCCTTGTCATTTTCAGGGCTTATTTATAGTTTATATTTTCTGATTTATTAGGCCCTAAAAACGTCTTTTGAATTTTGTATCACAATCAGCAAGAGCCACACCACCCATAACCTCTCCTTTTTAAGATGCAAGAGTTTGAAGCCTAGTGTGCTTTGTATGTGCAGTGTGAAAGTCTGCAATAATAATTTACAACCCTTATTTTGTTTCTCTGCAAGTATAATCAAAAATTTTTTGGCTGAAATGACTATTTGTCATGGTTTAACCCCAGCCGGCAACTAAGCAGGTGCCTGAAGCCAGAAAAAAAAAGGAAACAAACTGTATAGTGCAAGGAGCTTCTGTATGGGAAGAAGTCCTCTAGGGCAACACTTGCTCCCAGGCAAGCTGGATGCAGAGGATGTAGAGACATTATTTTGTTACTGGCTGTCCACCTCCATATGGGATCAAAGCTGGATTCATTTATCTGCCACACACCAGCATTTTCAGAGATTTCACCACATCAAATTACTACTCAGGACCAAACTGAAAGCACGAGCTGAAATGCTGGACACGACACAACACATCGTCCAACAGCGTCACTTTGCAGCTCATCACTTCATAACGAGCCTCTGAGATTTGAGGAATCCAGGAACTAATGGGGTTTCTTTCAAAACAAAACAAATATATAAAAAGGGAAAAAATCTATCCTGGATATAAACCAACCTAAACAAACCTCAATTGTCCTGAAAACACTGGTGTTTTCTTCTCCCTCCCTTGCTCCAGATAATGAACTTGCTGAGTAAAGCACACCAGCAGCACAACGACACAGCAAATCCCCAGCACAGTACCTGGACGGGAAGCCAGCTGCACTGATGCGGATGGTCTCCAACACTCCACAAGCTCTCAGCTGCTGCACCGCTCTCTTTGGATCAAATCTGCAATTATATTTAAGGATAGAGATTAACACAATAAGAAGGAACCCACATCAACAACCCACCTGATAGTGATGCTTTTGGGGACAGGAATTAGTTTCCGATTTGTGGAAAAAAGCTCTGCTCTCGTCATTAGTACAGGGGCTGAAGAAAACCATACATCCATGGATAGCTTTTGTCCATAGCCATTCCCTTGCAAACCTCAGTATAGCCACAAATCCCATGCCTTGGGAACAGGCTGCAGAGATGTCACATCTTTTCTCTCCATGTCACACGACGTTGTGCTTTTCAAGTGCAACGGACCTTGCTATTGCCAAGCAGAGCTCCTGGGACAAGATGATGATCTGTTGCAATTAGTCTTCACAGCCATAACCTACCCAGCTATGTAAAGCAACACAATTACGATAAAGAAGGGAACAGGCTACCCCATCACAAGCTGCCTGATGAACCAGACAGCATTACTTTTGCAGCTATAAGGGCAACAACATATTTCCAGAAAGAAATCCAATTCAAGAGCAAAATAAGTCTGATACATTAAATTCCATACCAAAAGCAAGCAATTAACAGGTCCCACAGGTTTGCAGACCGTTAAGTTTACCAAGAACAGTGGCGCTCATGTTCCAGACTAAGGGCTTTGGTAGGTGCCATGTGGAAATTCAAGGTATTTCTGCTCTCAGCTGTCTGCACTCCTCCTTCTACCAGGCACTATCCCTTACCACTGGCATCTCATTTCCATCAGCAATTTGTGCTGAAACACTTTGTGCCAACTTCTAGCTGAATACTTGGGCAGTGCGCTCTCTGGCTCCTGGCGTGAACCCACTTTCAGATCAGTCTATCTTTGCACAGAGTGCAGGTACCAGCATCCCCCATCACTTCTCCCTCCTTCTACCCCTGACACCAAATGCACAAGGAGGTCCCAGCTCTCCAGCTCAAGACACTGGACCCTGGAAGAGGTCATTGGATCAAGCTTGGACATGTAAGATGTAGATGTCCATAGCTGTGGGTGTCCATACCTGTGTCAGATTTCCAGAACAAGGGTGAGGAACAAAAGCTTCTCAGGTACCTGCTTGTCCCTTCCTGAAAGCCCAAAGTATTTACACCTGCAGGTCAAGATTACATGAATAATTCTGCTTGGCCTCTGCTGTGCAAAAGCAGCATAAGAAATAGGCCCCCCGCTACTTCGTGCATTTTTAAATTCCCCAGACCTGTCAAGTGTACAGCAAGTTATTCACTGCAACACCGCAAACACAATCCAAGGTGGAAAATCAGTCTTGGCTGTCACTCGCTTCGAGGAAGAATCCACAAGGCTACAATTTCCACAACAATAAATAATAAACAGGACTGGTAGATGGACGGGGAAGCTTCAGTCCTGGAAGATCCCAGGACAATGTACGTTGTACACGAGGGGAACTTTCTGCAATGCGGCCAAGCCCTGCTCAGTGGGGGAGAAATGCAGTAACCAGAGAGGCTGCAGTGATTTATCAGCATCAAAAGTCAACACCCTCTCTAGCGACAAATCCAGCTTCAGGCTGAGGCTGAAATAAAGAGCTTAAAAGTGGGACAATACACATTATTATGAACTCCTTTTCCTTGCCATGGCAGGTAGAAGCACCTAGCAGGTTGCTTTTGGCCTGGAAACTCAAGTAAGAGATCACAAACCCTGCCTGAAACAGAATTTGGAAGGAAAATTGTCAAAGGTACAAGCTGAAGTCAGGCATTCCCCTCGCACCACTCTCTTTGAAGTCTTCTCCATGAGGGATCAACCTCAGACGCAGCCTGCAGTCAGATGCAGCAAATATCACTGTGTGGTGCCAACGCATCCTCCAGGCTGGAAGTCTGACACCCCTCACCTCCCTAAGAAACAAACCTTACATTTGATGTAAAGTAGGAATGAGAGTAATGCAGGTTGCAAGAGACCTTAGGAGGTCTCTAGTCCAACGTCCTATGTTCAAAAGCTGGGGCAGCTATGGGGGCAGACCCATAGCTCAGGGCTTTATGCACTCAAGGGCTGAAAACCTCCAAAGACGGAGGTTGCACAACCTCTCTGGGCAGCCTGCTCCACTGATAGACTGTCCTTATGGAGGGGGAAAAAAAAAGTTTCCTTATCTCCAGTCTGAACCTCTCATATCAATTTGTGGCCCTTGACTCCTGTCCTTCCACCACACACTTCTGTGAAGAGCATGGCTTTGTCCTCTTGGTAGCTACTGGAAGGCTGCTACTAGATCCCTTCTCTTCTCCAGGCTAAACATCTCATTCTAGCAAAAATGTAATGCTCTTGTGAGCTGAACAATGTTACGTTTTAGAAAGAGAAAAAGGTCCGTGTTTTTTCACTGAACAACGAACATAACATCAAGTGTTTTGCTTGCTACAAGATACCACTTCAATGCTAACCCAGGGCAGTGCCACCGATGTTTCACTTCACTAATGCCTCCTGGCACTGTGTATTTTTCAGCAGAAAAAATGCCTCTGAAATGCAGACTCCTTTACAGCCATACCAGTATTCCCCAGACCTGAGTTTTACATATAAGCAAATAGACTTTATTCGAGCCATGCTAAGGATACAAATTCCTCAAGCTGGTGGCACCAAGATCTATATTGACCAAGATTCCCAGATCACAATTTCAATTAAGCAATCCATGATAGGTGAGGAGGGAGATAACCTCTTGCAGAAGAACCCGCAGTACAAGACACCTGGACCAGTGCTTTCTGGCTTCCAGATGGGGATGCAACACCACCACCCCAACCCAAAGCACCCTCCTGTCACTTCCAGCCCATGGTGACTCCTGCAATGCCACCGACTGCAGACAGACACCTGCACGCTGCTCCTCCAGAATCATTATTGTGTCTGTATTCATTTGCCCTTTGTTCCCAAAATCCCGAGCTTTGACAACTCTGATATTCGCCAGATGGGGAGCATTGCATCGGACCCAGTCATCGCTAAGACTGCGAGCAGACACAAGCAGAATTATCCTCCTGGTATTTCCTACCCTACCCATAACATCTTAGAAGTACAACTGAGTTCATTTAGATAATTACTACACCTTGACAACCAGGAGCTTGCACATTTATAAAACGATATTAACTGCATCCTGAGCATCACATGAAAAACTGAATTGCAAAGTTAAAGGCAAAGAAGTGAAGATGGATGGGCTGAAAGTAGAGCCAACTAGGGACACGGAGCCTTGGAAACGCCCTTTGGAAAGGTGAAGCCATTTCACCATGCAGAGCATCTACCACATTTCCACTACAGAAAGTTAGAAAATACTTTTGTGCTTTATCTAAAGAAAGCAATCAAACAAAAAGCATAATGCTGAATTTCATTTCAATGGACAACCTCTGCAATAGGCAACAAGAGATCGAGGCCCTGAGCATCTCCAGTACCTACAAAATAGTACACGAAATAGATATAACAGACCATAGAAACTGCCATCCCAGCACAGACAGCCAACATAGCCTTCTCCAGAGCTGTTAACTAATCACCTAAAGAATCAGTTAAATATCAGCCAGTTTCTGAATGTCTTCTAATCATCAGTACTGTTCACTTTGCTGTTTCAAGGGGAAGAAGAGCCAAGCTGGGGAAGCTTTCTGGTGCATACATAGCCACCAGCATATCAAGACCAAGAGCGAGCCTGTTTATGGATGCTTCATCCTCCTTTGCAGGACGCTGTTGGAGCCGTCTCTGCACTCTGAGGTGGCACCGTGCTCACCGGGAGCACTCAGACCGCATCGGATCAGCTGGAGGGCAATACCTCCCTGCTTATAGGTCATAATTATAACTCTGCTTTCTTAAATGTCACCACCTGCAGTTTATGCCAGGGCCTTTAGAAGACATCACAACAAGATCTATGAGGTCCCTGCCAACTAATGGCCAAGCTTTTTTGGAGTTAAAGGGAACAAAATTGGGCACAAATACGTTATCTAAGAGGTCAACCAAGGCTAACAGCTATTTGGTCGCAACGTTCACAGCTTGCGATACACCTCTGAACTACAGAGAAAGATCAAGACTGGATTTTTGCTTCAGCTGTTCACTCACCTGGAAACCCTGCCTGAAGTTGATAAAAGTCACATGTTTACTTTTTTCACATTTATTTTGGAAGCACCAAGACATTTTTGTTCATTTTACAAGCCATTTTGCAAGCAGACTACTTGTCTCTGATTTTTTACTTCTTTCTCTGCTACTTCTCACTGTTTAGCACTATAACCATTCAAATCAAAGCAATTCTAAGATGAAATTGTACAAAGACCCTATTATTGCAAATCAAGGATGCTCAGTGTTAGCGGAGTATATCTACGAATTACTAGGACGTGCATTACTCTTCCTTTCAGGGGAACAAAAACCACATAACGAAGCCCAAGAGAAGTGATTCCAGTAAACTACAGGGACCTTCCAGTTACAGGAACAGCATCACAAGAGGGGCAATCTCTTTAGCAGGAGGAAAAGTCCAAAGCACACTCTGTTGCTGTAATGCTGAACACATTTGCTCATCTGAAAGCCCACTTACTTAAAGGGGAGCTTCTCGTCGTTCGGCTTGATGCAACGCACGTAGTGCGGGGTGGTGGCGTTCAGAGTCTCCATGAGCAAATGCAGCGAGTTGCGGAACTGAAAGACAAAACCACTTGTTTTGAGGAGGGATGAAGGTGCTGTACCGTGCAACCCAAGTTGGCGGGCGCTGCAGAAAGCCATCTGCGGTGCCAGCCTCTGGACATGACATAGCGTGAACCTCCCCATCAGCCCAGCACATGCAGGAGCAATTCAGAGAAGACACTGGTGGGTTGAAGGCTTCCAGCTTAATGAGGTACAGGAGCAACAAGCGTTTGCTTGGGACTTCAGTCAGCTGCGTCTTGAAAAATCTCCAAGGTTGGAGACAGCACAACCTCTCTGGGCCCTTGTTGCACTGCTTGACTGTCCACGGGGGTGGGGGGGGGAACGCTCTTTTTCTCAAGATGTTTCAATTTATGAGCACTGTAAATATATCGGGATACAGTCCAGTGAATCCCAGAGTGGCCTCCACCCTCCTTATACGATGCCTCAAATACTTGAGCCTGCTCAAGTCACGACTACTTGAGCCTGCTCTTCCAGAGACACTGCTAGAACGTGTCCAAAACGCAACAACCAAACTGTTCCCATCCTCAACACGAGTCACAGGAAGGTCTCCTCCCCCCCCCCACCAACAGCTTTTAATTTACCTCTGCTTCAAACTGAAGAAAGAAGATCTGAACTGTAAAAATGCATCTGGATTCCCCTGCCCCGATTCCCCTGCTGTCGACTGACCCACTCAAATCATACGTTACCTGGTGCCCCACCGTTTTCTTGTGCTCCTTATTGGCAGCTTTGATCACTGGTCTGGCAGAACGGACGCTGATTTTGGATGTTCCCTTTCCCATGGAAGTGGTGGGTGCAGCATCTTTCTCATCTTGGAATAAGTCTGCTACCATTTGATACTAAAATGAAAGACAACGCCTGAGCACTTCTGGCCCTGCTCTTTGCTGAATGAACCCACCCAAGCTGCATTGCTCCATTCATTTTTTACCCATCTTAAACCAAGAAGGGGAAAAAGGGCAATAAAGTGAAAGCAAGAAGCGTTACCTACATAAACCACATCTGCAGGACCATTGGCCATTCTGTTTGGTAGTTCATCAAACCTTGAAATGTGCACGTTAAATCAAACAAGCGAAAAAAAGAGGATGGCTAGCTGAAAGGCTGCATCACTGACGTGTTGTCCAAGGCACAAAACCTCCTGAACATGAAGTGACTCTTGCTCCCAGGCTTCGTTTCAAGCTACTCGTTCAGTCCTGATGGCAGCAAGGACGCTGCCCGCATAGCGTATCCCCCAGGAGCAAGGTCTCCAGATGAGGACAGGCAGCAGCCCACTCCCACCCCGGTTCCAGAGGCACCCCTGCTTTTCCAAACAATTAAGAGACACCAGCACTTCCTCACTAATTACCTGCATTTCAGCGTGAAAAAGCAAGGCAACAGCAGGACTGCCATTCTGCAGCCCTGAAGGCACCACATTTAGCTCCTCAAATCCCTGAAGTCTGGGGCTTCTGGCAAGCCAGCAGCAACATTTCCACTTCATAAACGGGAGAACAAGTTAGCTGGCAAATACAGTTAATGCTATTTTTTTTTTTAAGGGGCAGGATCTTCAAATTTGCATTAGGCTGTGGAACACGTATACTAAGTAAGTCACAATAAATCTGGTCTTTTTAGCAGAGCTGTTAAATTTCCACATCTCGAATCCAGCTATGCACCCACACTGGTTTCCGCTACAGCTGTGCTTACATTCAAACAGTAAATTCTTAAATGTAAAAAACCTCACTGTCATCAGGAGGGATTTCACTTATCACCAAGCTGAGCTGGACTCCAGCCCAGTGACACTGCCAAAGCACCCATGATGCCGCCCCAGCAGCACGCAGACCATCGCCAACACCCGCTCTGGAGCATCCATGGGAGAGGGCACCAGCATCACGCTCCCCTTGCCCGTGGCGTGCCATGCCCAACACGTCCACGCAAAAACACCGACACGAGGCAGCGGTGCACTGCACAGCGCTCTTCCCTCCATCCGAGGCTCCTCCGAAAGCTGAGATTGGGTGTATTTCCAATAAGATCCTCCTCCAAAAGTCAAGCTTGGGTGTATTTCCAGTAAGATCCTCCTCCAAAAGCCAAGTTTGGGTGTATTTCCAATAAGATCCCAAGAAGAGTGCAGGGATTTACCACTTTATAGACATTAACGGACCGTGCCGTAAAGGGCTGCCTGGCTCTCTGCCGCATTCCTGGACTGAGACAGGAATATTTCCAGCCCTGGTCCCACAGGCTGTTCGCACAGCTTACTAGCACGGCAGCCTAAATACCACTGTGGAAAGGAAACTGTTTGCATTATATTAGCAAATTGCTTGCAGGCTCCAAGACACCACCAGCTAAGGATCTACTTCATACTCACAGCTTTTATTTTTATCTCTGCAGCTCACTCAACTCCTACCAGAATAAAGGCTCGCACCTCCTTTGCCTAATCCTCTATCCCAAAAAAAGACATCCCGACAGCTGTTGTGCTTTGATGACATGTCACTATCTTGGGTGCTTTGCCTCCTGCAAACACAGGATGTTTGGGTGGCTTGATGCTGGAAGACATCCAACACAGGCTCCGCTTTACTATCTCACGCTGGACAATGTGGTAAAACACCCAGCTGTAATTTCAGGTTTCAAAATATCTTCTCAATGCGTAGCTGGAAGTGCCATCGATCCCTCCATCCGCTTGCTATTGATAACAGCAGTGCTTGCTCCTGTGCAAACTTTCAACAAGAATCTCAGAGGTGAGCTTTCAGCTTGCATAATGCCAAACTGGTGCAGCTAGGATCGTCTTTAGCAGCCCAGGATCTATTCCACGATGCTGGGGGATAAGCAAGAAGGACAGATCCCTCCTTCCCAATTGGCAGAGTCAAAACCATTGGTGCATTATTTGTAACTCTAGAGAACTGGAATATAATAAATTTCAGCATGCCCGTATGCTTTCGATCAGTATTCAACTCAGTTAATTCAAAGAACATCAACTCTCAACTGTTTTAGCTGACCAGCACTAACAAAACTAATTAGCTGCTTTATAAAGTCTCTTTCACCATCTTGTTGACAGCAGTAATTGCGTTCTAATTAGCAGAAGGCAATTCTGCCTTGGTGGGAGCGCTTCATCAGTGATGCACTTGCTGACAGAGAGGTGTTTAAGTCCTTGCCGTGTTAAATTGACAGCATTCCCCCCTTGCCCTGTGTATCGCCTTAGTGGGAATACAAGGAGGAATGCAGTGAATACTGTATGCAGGCCTGATCCCGAGTACAGGACAAAGTCCTCGCAGTGCAGCCTTTTGCAGCACAAATTTAAGTTTTAGTGAAAGTAGCACATTTGAGTGGCAGACTCAGCATTGCCACTGCTGCTCTTTTTGGATCAGAGAAACCAGGTTGCTTTTTACAGCAAAAGAAAAAAATTTTTATTTGTTTATACCTGTAGAGGGCACATGGCACATGAGAGGCAGGGGAAAAAACAAACAAGCAAACAAACCAACCCCCAAAAAGTCAGGAGAACTGAATCTGTCAGCCAACGGGGCTAGCGAAAGCAAGAGCAGAAGATCAGGTTTTGGAGGCTTTGCAGGAGGAGGGTGAGGATGTTCTTGCCAAGGGAAGCGCTGCTCTTCCTCCTGGGACAGCACGGCATCGGCACAGGCTGCCCACAGCCACCGCTTCCACATTGTTAAAGAAATTGCTCAAAGGCAGAAGTTCATCAAACTATCACCCAAAGATTCTCAGAGCCAAGTGCATTTGAGAGTGTTTTAAGCTGGATCAAAACCACAGATTTTGGTGTTGCCTACAGAGCCACCACCGTGAACTCACAAGTCCTAACACCTGATCCCAAGGAGCATTAGCTCAGTTCGCAGGCCAAGTAAGCCCAAATCTTTGGTCCTGAGGCATATACATTAATGACTTACGAAACTCCATATTTTAAGGCCAAGCAAACCAGTTACAAGGTGCAGGGTTTGGTTTTTTGCTGTTAAATTAAAGCCCAGCCCACTCTGATATTATATTATGGTCCTTATATATGAGAGAGAGAAGAGAAGGTGATGCTGTTAATAAACCCATTTCCACATTTTTAAAATTTCTTAACGAATGAGTTGCAGGTGGCACCATCCTCCCCACTCTACAACACACTACTCCGATGAGTTACAGCTCTCCTCTGCACCTACTCCGCGGCAGCTATGGGGAGAAGTCAAACAGAAATCCCTGTCAGACACGGCCAGTTCTGCAGCACTACCTCCAACAGCAAGTTCAGCACTGGCTAAATAATTCATCATACAGCATCAATTATTCCTGCAGGTTACCTGGTGTTTCTAATAAGCTCTAATCATGCTCAGTTTTTACCCTGAGAAAGCTGTGAGCTTCCCAAACACACAGAGATCTTGATTTGGGCATTATTAAAGCCCAGCTTCACAGTTTTTAGACTCACAACTACCCCCATGGATGAGAAAACTGCACATCTTGCCATCTTCATGTGAATTCTTTGCCGAGACGCAGGGCAAGCCACTGGCAACGCTCAATTAATTTCCCATTCTCATCTCTCTTACTTTGGCAAGAACCAACTCCTGCTTAAAATGCTCCTAAAAATAATACTTCCTCCCTTCCCCCCTCATCATTTGAGTGGCATTTGGAAGGTGGCATTACCCAGCCGTAAACCCAAGGGAGGATGGCACAAAGAGGAGAAATCTGGATACGGGACACATCTCCTCGCAATATGCAGGGGAGATTCAAAATTTGTAATGCAAAAAAAAAAAAAAAGCAAGTTAACAAGGGGAAAGTTTGGAAATAGTTTGCAG